TGAGATTGTTTGGCTGGCTAAGAATAAGTCTCTTCCCTAGTGCTTAATGGGAGATTTTAACTCCATTCTTCATCCGACGGACAGGATGGGAGGAGCCGCATACAATGAGGCTCGATACAAGCCTTTTAGAGACTGTATCAACGCCACCCTATTAATTGATCTCCATTTCTCTAGTCCCCATCACTTGGAGAAGGGGCACTCTCTACCAACGGTTGCACCAAGTTTTGTGAAATGGGAAATGTCTCCTTCAATATCCGTAAACGTGGCTCAAACATTTAGAGTGAATTAGATCTGACCATAGAACTATTCTTCTTCAAGGTGTGCCTTTGACAAGGGCTAAAGGCGATCGACCCTTTCGTTTTACTGCTGCCTGGATGAGTCATGTTGACTTTACCGCATCCTGGATGAGGCACTGGTAAAAAATGACAAATTTCCTCAACAAATGTTGGGAATCACTAAGGATTTGAAGAAATGGAACAAGGAAGTGTTTGGACATATTCGCCAGCGTAAATGCCGCCTAGCTAAGTGCCTAAGAAAGCTCGAAACTTGAAAAGAGAAAGGACCTCAGATCCAAGCCATAAGGAAGAGGATACCATCCGGGCTGAGCTCGAAGAACACTTGCTTTGGTGAACATTAAAGGAGATGGGCGGGCTCAAAGCCCCGGGGAGAGATGGTTATCGCGCCATCTTTTTCCAACGTTGTTGGGGTAAGATTGCAGATTCCTTTGTTAACCACATTGGAGATTGTTTCAGGAACCTGGGACGTATCACAACGTTTAATGAAACACTTCTGGCTCTCATTCCCTAGAAGGATAATTCGGAAACGATGGCTCAATTTCGACCTGATCAGACTCTGTAATGTTGTCTACAAGTCTTGGGGGAAATGTCTGACCAATTGGATATATCCCCTAATGAGCCGATTGGTCCATGATACACAGACAAGCTTTATTCTAGGAAGGCACATCACAGACAATATGATCATTCTCCAGGAGGCGGTACATTCAACGGGGTTAAAGACTGGTGAACGTGGGCATATGGTGGTGAAGGTGGACATGGCTAAAGCATATGATCGTCTGAGTTGGACATTCTTACAGGACACGTTAGAGAAGGCGGGGTTTCCTGGAGCTTTTGTGACGGTGATCATGAAATGTGTGACATCGGAGAAAATGTGAGTTCTCTGGAACTGGAGCGAGTTAGAGCCTTTCTCTCCCCAAAGGGTTGCGCCAGGGATGCCTGCTGTCGATATACTTATTCACTCACCCGGTGGCCCTCCTCTTTCCCACCCCTTTTTTGCTGACGATCTCTTTCTTTTTGTAGAAGCGACAACTAGACAAGGTGAAGTTATCCTAGACTGTCTAACATAGATTCTGTCTAGCATAAGGAGAAATTTGTTGTCTACTTCTCTAGCAATATTGATAAGGGGACTAGTGGAGAGATCATCAACACTCTCGACATTCCAGCAACTCAGGACTTGGGGCGTTACCTTGGTGTACCGGTACTCCATGGTCAGGTCACAAATGGGTTCTACAGATATATCTTGGAGAGGCTAGATACGAAAATAGCAGGGTGGAGGGCGGACACGCTGTTGTTTGCAAAGAGAGGGACTTTGGCGACATTGGTGCTGAATACTTTACCGACGTATGTGATGCAAATGATGCTACTACCCCACTCGATGTGTGATGAGATTGATAGAAGGGTCAGAATTTTTATTTGGGGCTCTTTTGCAGATAACTGGAAGGGGGAGGTTTGGGTCTAAAAAAAGCTCATGAATTAAATATCTCATTTCTAGCTAAACTTTCTTGGCTTTTTATGCGTAGCTAGGACGAGCTTTGGGTCCAAGTGATATAGGCTAAGTACTTCAAAATGGTGGGTGTTATCATGTCTGCGAAGCTGGTTCACCGCAGCTTCACCCTTTAGCGCGACATCAAGAAAGCATGGCATGTGATGGTTGGGAAATAATATGTGTGTGAAAAATGGCCGCACCATGGCTTTTTGAATGGACCGATGGCTTAATGAGAGTACTGACTCACTAAAACACAACACCAAACTACGACCAAGTGTAATAGTAGAATGGAAATGCAGAATAGTGGGTCAAGTAATAAATGTAAACCTGGGGCCTAGATGTACTGCCTACTCCGTGAAATTCTATTATCTAGCTGGAAAATTTGAGTGAGAATGAGTTTAAACTAAAACAGAAAGAAACCAGCAAGTTGTTCGGTTTTCTAAAGCAAGAGAAGAGTGAGTCGGGAATGAGTGTTCCTAGCTCCACAATTAGGTCCAAGATGTAGTTCCTTTTGGTTGCTTCATTATTGATTAGAATGCAGAAGATCCAAAAATAGCTTGGAATCTATTAAGCTGACCAAGCCCTCTTAGATAGAATACCCGACATGTGACTAGTCTTACCGGGATAGACTGCTAAAGAGATTCACACAGATCTCCACTACTTGAAACGAATTCCAGTACAAAGTAGTGAATTGACTAACTCTCGTACAATTAATTCACTACTACTAATTGAAGAAGCTCTATCAACATAATCAAATTCATCTATCATAGGTTAAAGCAGAAATTAAGAGAATTTGATCTTCAATTGACTCAATAAATCATGCTTCAATCAATTAATATCATCCAGTATACATCCAAAAGTCATTACAAACAAGATCCCTAACACATGAAACTAGGGTTCTTCATACCCAAGTGAGAGAGAGGTTTGCTCCATAGAGAGAGAGGAAAATAGAAATCAAAGCAGTCATACTCATAATGATGTGTATAATCTGCTCTGGGATGTCAATCTTCACTCCTGGAGACACAATTTGGGCTTCAATGGTGAGGTCTCCACTCCAAATAGCTCATAGGGTTTGTTCTTCGTCACTTTCTCTCTCTAGAACTCTATTTTTGCTCCAAAAAGTCGAATCCACTAAAATATGAGCTCCTTTGCAATAAAATCTGCACAGGTGCAAAAACACGGCCTCTGACCCCAAAAACCCAGTGAATTTTTAATCAAACAAGGTCGTGTTCTAAATTACGCTTCTATGACGTGCAGAGGAAAAACCCGGCCTCTGACACAATGTCCTGTTTCACTAAAGAGGATATGTTTGAGGGCATGTTTTTCAGCTACTCTACTGCCTGGTTTTCGCGATTGACCTCTTTCACCTCCAAATGTCCCGAAACTCGTCCCTAAGCCATATCTACGTACTAGGTCATGAAATATGACAAAAGAACATAACCTAGCATAAAATAGGCCAAGAAATGAAGGGGAAAACATGTGCAAAAACGGTGTTATCAAATTCCCCCTCAGTTAACCGTTTGCTTGTCCCCAAGCAAACCAAGTTAGACACGAGGTAAGCTCAAAACATTTTAACCATGAAAAATTTGGGGACATATCATATAGGCACAAAACACATGAATCCTACCGGCTTTTAGACATCAACACATGAACAACCGCAAGAGCAACCTGGAAAACCACCATAGATTACATTAGAGTGCAGCAAAATCGGGCAAAGGAAGAGTCTCCCTTCTATTCACCGACCAACATAGACTGGAAAAAGTCACCTCATGCATAGAATCCAAGACATTAGAATCAAGATCGAGTAATCTAGGTCCTCACCAGGGTATATAATATGAAAATTGAATCACTCCGACTAGTGGGCTTAGGACAAAATTTGATGCAAGATGAGCATACTCATACTCTCAATCCCTAACGTCTCTTCACCATTACGACATCCTCTAAATGCTAGAGTTCATATATCGGGTGTCACCACTAACTTGTTCGGAGGTTTTAGACACGGGTTCAGATGACTAGCTAGGGTCTGGGACATGGGAAAAAGGCCTTTTAGGTGGTGGAAGAATTCATTACACAAGGTTCCATAGTTCCAAAACCAACACAACAACATTCATTAGAAACATTTACTTTCTCTCTGCTATTATGCATTAATCAAGTTCCTTAGAGCACAAGAGTTAAGGAGGTTATAACATGTTAGTACCTCCAAGCCAGTCTGCTAAGAAACACTATCTAATGAGCATGATTAAGATTTTTGTGGTGGCTCTCTATTGCTTTCATTTGTTTTTTTTTTCTTTTCTTTAGAGAAACACTACTTTTGCTACATTCTTTTTATCTTTGCAAGCACATGGCCCACATTGAAGAACTTCCTCCAACCATCACCTTATTTCCAGCAGAAAACAATAGAAAATATGCAAAAACCACTATGTGGAACCTCAAAGATTTGCAAAAGGATAATTTTTCATTATAGACACAAAGATAGAAAGTTACACGACTCAAAGGGGCTGACTAGGGGGGTATGATACACCATGACAGTTTATTTGGTATGGGGTTAATCATATGCCTCCATCATTATAATTAGTGGAAACGTGAATGATACACATCATGTAAAAGAGATGTATCGCACAAGAAAGAAACGAGCAGGCTCAAATTTCATGTGGCTACCTATATGTTCTATCTCTCATTTTGATTCCCTGAACTAAATGCATAAACGACTGTATCAAATGAGTGATCAATCCAAGTCACAGTTGGTAAGCAAACAGTTGAAAAATTGAACCCCTACACAACTCTACTGCACATCTCAGTCATCATTATAGGTTGTCCTAGTCACAAACAAGTTATCATACGTCAATGCTAACAACCAATCGATTCACCACATAAAACCATAGTGCCAATATGATCATGAAAACATCAGTACTTGGAGCCCTCAAATCTCAAGATTTGGACAATGGAATAGGCTCCAAACACACAAACACATCTAAGTAGTCAAATATAAACACCCCCACACTTAAGTTCGACATTGCCCTCAATGGAGAAGAGGAAAGGAGAATGATGTTACCAAAAAAACAGACTGCATCAGGATTGGAGAGTGGACCAGTCAACGATGAGACTGGAAGTGGGATCAGTTGTGGCAAGAACACGGGCTAAGACAAAAACAACCACTCAAACAAAAAATCATTAGGAAGAGTTGTCAGGCCTATGGGGGCCCGACAAACACATAAACGGACTCAACAAGCGCTTTTTTACCATCTTTTAGTTGGACGCATAAGGTGAATGCTCATAGCATATTAGGAGCATGTCCCTCCAAGAGCGGATCTACATCACTCTTGAGGTACAACTTTAAATGGTGGTCATGCACCCGGAGGGCACGGCCGTCAGCACAGGATAACTCGATCTTTCCATCTAGCAGGATACAAGCAAGTGAATACTAAGATGGCCAGGGTGGTCGTAGCTCAAAAGCTGGGACCAGCTCATAGTGGTATCCACATTTCTTTTTGCCATGCTTGGATGCCTGCAACTTTGGCCGCCACTCCTCCTTAAGCGTTTTGTTTGGAAACAGGGAGAACGGGAGTGCCAGAGAAGGAATAGATGCAGATCCCTACAAAACGTGAGACACATAAGGATACATGACAAACTCGTGCACCTAGTGAGATAAAGCATGCACAGGCGAGAGAGCAGTCAAGTTATTAGCAATGAAAAAAGTTATCTACTCCTCGCCATCTCTTATAACTAGGGTCCCATTATGCACATCAATAAGAGCCTTAACAGTGGCCAATAAAGGCCTACATAGTATAAGAGGAACTTCTGCGTCCTTATTGATGTCTAAGACAACAAAATCTGCAGGATAAAAGAATTTGACAACCTTAACTAGGAGGTCTTCCACTGTGCCTTTAGGATGAACTGTGGATTGGTGAGCTAATTGGATACTCATCCTAGTTGGACTTGGTTCACCTTGGCCTAGTTTCTTGAACAATTTATAAGGTATAACATTGATACTAGAGCCTAGATCCGCCAAGGACCTCTCCACATGCAGTTTACCAATAGAGCACGGGATAGTAAAACAACATGGGTCCCTCTGCTTTTGCTGAAGCTTGTTCTGGGGAATGGCTGAGCACTCCTCGGTGAGCTCCATAGTGGGCAACTCGCTCAGCTTCTTCTTCTTAGAAAGGAGATTTTTCAGGAACTTTGCATACTTAAGCATCTGAGATAGTGCCTCCAGGAAGGGTATTTGGAAATTCAACTTCCTCAACATGGGCATAAAGTTCCCAAGTCGATCTTTGTGCAGTCTGGTGGGAAAGTGGGGATGAGGTTTATATTCAGCCCAAGTCGATCTTTATTGCTTGAACCTCTGGCTCCTTGTTCGTCACTAGTCCTTCTTCTGATTGTGGGGCAACCTATCACACTGCCTTTTGCGCGCCGTGGTGGCTATTCATCAGCCACCTTCCAAGTTCTCAAGGTGATTGCACTTAGTTCCTCCAGTTGATTGAGTGGGTTAGGCACCATGGTAGCGAGCAGGGTACCCGGGGCTCTGTGTTTCAGAGATTGAGCAACTCTCTCGATCTGGGTCTGAATGTCTTGTAAAATAGCTTGGTGGTTTCTTTAGCCAGCTTCAAGTTCCAAGAATCTTCCTGCTATCACTTCCATGAACGGGTCTATCTTGCTGAACTTCTGGGTGTAGGAGCTGGCAAAGGTGCCTACTAATAGGGGTGGGCATTCGGTCGGTTCGGTTTTGACCGAACCGAAATAAGGAATACCGGGTCCCCGAATTCTCCCAAACCTCGAACTGAATTCGAATCGAATTATCATTCGGTTCGGTCGTTTAAACCGAATTATAATTCGGTTTGGTTTTCACACAAAACCGAATTTGTGAAGCTACTTGTATCTTCTCACTTTTAAATTATTTTTCACCCCTAATATAAACAATAAATATGCAATTATATGCATCATCAATGATAAAATCAAATTTTCAACACATAAGTCATAAAATATTTCAAATATCTAAGTCTAAAAACAACTACAAACATAAAAATCCACCATTTGGAGTTTCAATTATAGTATTTCGGTTTTTCGGTCGGAAATTCGGTTTGGTTGAAAGAACCCTGATTTACGAACTATCCATATTTTCCTTCTGAATTCCGAACCGAATAGCATTAATTCGGTTTCGGTTCAGTTTTATTTGGCTTTGGTTCGGTTCGGTTCAGGTTTACCGAACTAGTTTCCCACCTCTACCTACTTAGTCTCTCAACTCAGCCACCGAATCACAGTGCCAAAATTACTGGACCTGCACCCGGAGGCTGGAACTGCCTCTGCTTCTGCTGAGAGAGTCTACCCTTGTATGGGTTGGTTAGGAGGCTGTTACTAGTACTAGCCCACGAGACTGATATGGCGGTCTTTGAAATCCTTGTGGTCCTAAGAGACTAGTGGCTTAGGATTACTGTTACCACTCCAAGAGAAGTTAGGATGTTGGCGCTACCCCTCGTTATAAGTGTTGTTGTAAGGGCCGAAGCGCTTAGCATTTCCTATGAAGTACAGCTGCTCTTGGGGTGTAGTAGATTCCCTTATTGCTTGACAGTCTTCTAGTGTGTGGTGGCTGCTATCGCACCACTGGCAATACATAGCTTGCGGATTCCCTGTACCAAGAACCATCCCATTTTTATCAAGTGTCGTGACCATCTTAGTGACCACACTCACCAGCATGGACGACGGGGTATCCATGGCATGCACACCACGACTCAGTGCTCGTCGCGATCTTAGCGCAGAACCCCAGTCATAACCCTGATCCACCATGTCTTCAAAGAGTTTATTCAACTGCGGTGGCGTCTGAAAGTCCCCCAGTGCACACTTTTGAATGTCTAGACATATTTATCTTACATATTCCTCATCTGGGAGTTGGTGTTTCCACAGTGAGATGGGAGTAATGTTCGCTCTACCTAACTAGTGCAAAGAAGAATTATAGCTCATATCATATTGATAAATTACCAAGCTGTACTTGTTTGAGTAGGTTTGCTTGGGGACAAGCAAACGCCTAAGTGTGCGGCAATCAATAACACCTAAAATAGGTGTTATTTGGCCCTCATTCTCGAGGCATTTTCAAGCTGAATCACCATGTCTAGGCCACATATCAACTTAGTTTAGACCTATTTTCGTTCTTATTTGAAAAACATCCATTTTGGCATGGGTTAGCTTGATATGAAGGTTTCATGGGGAAATCGTACCCCACTTTTTCGTATTTTATACTTTCCAACAGCCTTCAAGAAGCGCATGCCTAGGCTTGAAAAGGCGCTCGGTGATGAAGGAACGGTGTGATTTGGCCCAAGGTGGAGATAAAAGCGCTGGTAGCGCTTAATACCTATTAATCATCGCCTAATTGGTGATAATGAGGGCTTAGGCGTTACTTAGAGTGCCTAGGTGGGTCTTGAATTTCCTCCCCTCTAAACTGCATTTTGTCCTCTCTTGGTTCATGAGAGTGAGTTCTACTTTAACTAAGCTCTCTTGATTATTTTGTTATACTTTGACATGGCTAGGAATATTGATTTCAAGATCAAAGGTGAGGGGATTACCATCAAAATAAATCCTTATTGTCTATAATGGAAAACTAATTCACCATTAGATGCTTACTTTATGTTTCCCACAATGCCTTGTGAACTACAACAAAATTCAGGTTTGCCAACAGTAAAAACATGCATGGTTGTAATAAAAATAATTGTTGAATCCTTAACATAAACACACACAACTAATAACATTGTTTTACATTCAATAGAAGTATTTACCTAACATAGGTATATTTCAATAATGTGGGGTTAGTGAATTGTTGTGTTTTTGTGAATAGACTTAGTCTCTTAGCAATTATCATAGGTTGAAAAGACCATACTTTCAAGTTTTCATCCAATATAATGTATGAATTTTATCTACATTAGGCATATATATTGTGGTCTACATTCTACAAATACAAATATACAACATAGTAACAATATTGAGCTTTATTTTTCAGAGTCTAAAAGGATGAACGTTTTGTTGTTGAGTTGTTATGCAAAGTTTTTTTTGTCTATACAATAATATATAACTAATTACTTAACTGGTTAATTTGGTTTCATTGGTTAGGAGTGTCGGAAACCAAACCAAACCACCTAAACCAAACAAGCTAAAAATTTAATCAAACCAAACCAATTATCCGAATTAACCAAACCAAATTATCCAAATACTACCAGTTAAACGGTTACCATGGTAAACACTCCGTTTGAACAACCCTAATTTTACCTACCATAAAAGAAATATGGTCCAATAAAAAGTTATATTTTGGAGCATATTTGAATATTTAGGTGGTAAATGAATTTTTTAATAACAAGAATAGTATGGTCACTTCTTGCTTATTATTTGTTATGTTAAGTGTTAATTGTTGAAAACTAGTTTTTTCTAATTTTATATAAACTTGGATCATATAAAGTATTCCGGAAAACAAGAAACATTTGAGAATTTTTCTATTTATGCTCTGAACACCTAGGCACGTCTAGACTACGCTTAATCGGGCAAGTCGCAAGTCAGGAACAGAGCGCTCGCCTTACACCTAGTGCCTTTTTGTCCCTTGCTTTCCAATGTTTTTTATGAAATTCCAGGACTTAAAGCCATCTAGGATTGATCAGGAATCGATTGAAGTTCATCCGAGCACGATTGGGAATCATAAGAGCGATAAGGGAAGAAAAGGCATAGGTCACGGCCATGTCACGACCTTGACCAGCCCGTGACCATGTTCGCGGTCGTGAACAGTGGCCTAGAACTTCTATAGGCAGCCAATAAGAGGGAAGAAAGTGTTGACACTCGAATTGCGGCCATGGAGCTTTTCGACCGCGAAAAAGATCACGCTTGTGGCACCAAAGTTCGCGGCTGTGATCTCATGTAGGAGGTCGCGATCTCAGAGCTTGAAGACAAAGTGAAAATGTTAAGTTTCGAGCGATTCGGCGTCGTTCACGCTGGTCACGGCCTGGTCACACTCTCGAGGTCGTGACCTGCATCAGCACTCTATAAATACCTCTTTTCTGCAGTTTTTAAAGAGGGAAACACTTTGGAAAAGCTTAATAGAAGATCCAATCCACCCAAGGATCAAGAAGAAGGTGTAATCCAAGGAGAAGGAGATGATTTTTTATAACACCTGAAATCGGCGTTATTTAACCCTTATTCTTAAGGCATTTGCATGTTAAATCACCGTGTCTAGGCCACATATCAAGCTATTTATGGCCATATTCATTCCTATTTGCAAAATATGCATTTTGGCATAGGTATTCATGATATGAAGGTTTTTCATAGGGGAACCGACCCCAATTAATCGTATTTTATGCTTTCTTAAGTATTTGTGATGAAATTCCAAGTCTTATATTCATTTGGGATTGATCGAGAATCGATTGGAGTTCATACGAGCACAATTAGGAAGCATAGGAGTAAGAAGGGGAGAAAAGGCAATGGTCACGGCCACAGGTCAGTGCCCTTGACCAGGCCAAGATGATTATCGCGGCCTGATGATCGTGGTCGCGATCAAAGGCCACGAACCTCAGTAGGCAACCAAGAAGGAAGCATAGAGTTTCCTCACCCGGATCGTGGGCATGGCGTATTTTGACCCCAACAAAGATCGTGCCCGAGACACAAAGATCGTGGCCGTTATCTCATGAAGGAGAAGGTGCAAGCAAGGAGAAGAACATTGATTCCATCACTCCCCTCTTCTAGTTTGGGCTTTTGTTAAGAATAGATGAACCCTAGATTGTATGTTGGTATTTGATTGAGTTTATATATGGGTATGTTGTTCTAGTGATTTTATGCCTCATGTGTAGGTAGTTATGCTTAGGTAAGTAGCCCTAATCTTCTCTACTAGCCTACTTTATGCTACTATGCGTATGGAGTTTTAGAGTTAGACGGTATGCGCCAACTGGAAAACTAGTGATAGTGAGTTATCTTAGGGATTTGAGGTGGACGAGGCCACCGAACCCTTGCCTCTATAGCGCCTTCCTAGAACAATGCTGTGGGAGTTTTCCCAGTAGTGTGTGATATGTTTAAACTATTTGAAGGAACTAAGAGAGCATCACTAGCGAGGAAACTTAGATGTAGGTGACATTGGGAGAGTTCCGCACCATAACCATAAATTTAAAGCTCGATCGCGCATAAGCATTATCAATTTCCACTATTCCTCCTTTTCTTAGTATGTATTTTCTTTCTCTCTCTATGACTTGAATCTCTTAGGTTGTTTAGGAAAGATGAACCCCAGTTTTAGAGTTCGGATTTATGAATGGATATGTTTGTTTTAGTGAATATATATGCTTGATTATGCTAGGCTAAGTCGCCGAACTCTTCCCTACTAGCCTACAACTGACTTAACACTAGATGAGGATTTTAGACGTAGACTGGGTAGCACCAACTGGCAGATTAAGGGGAGATGAATGATCTTAGGGTTCCTTAGTGGACGTGGAGACCGAACCCTTGCAATAGGAGTCGCTTCCTAAAACAATGCTAGAGAAGTTGCACGCGTTTTGATCGAAGCACATCTCTAGTATGCATGATAGGTTAAACCTATTGAGAGAAACTATGAGAGCAACCCTATCACGTAAACTTAGACTGAGGTGACACTGGGTCTTTGTAGGTCGCGTTAGGAGGGAGAGTAGTCATCGAAATCCCCTGATTAGAGAGTTCTGCATCCTATCCGATAAACCTAACACTATAGCTAGAGGAGTTCAATCCTAGGCAACCATCTCATCTCTAGAGGTTTCCCAACCACTTAGTTGGTTGTTTAGGTAGGTTAGTTCTACCCCCAACCTTCCGATTCGATTACATAGTATTACGGAGCGAAGTAATAGTAAGCTTAAGGTTCCCTTTGAATACGACCGAGTGACTTTACTACATCCCTATCTTAGTTATACTTGATTTAGCTAGGTGTTACATGAGATAGCTTCGTTTTACAAATATCATCATTGTTAGCAAAGGTTTCAAGCCTTGTAAAAGGTGAAAGCATAGATTTTGATAGAAGTGGTACTGGTTTCATATGCAAAAAGATTTTAAAATGGGTGATTGGGGACAATGAATATGGAGGAAGGCCATAGCATATTGAATTGTTCAGTGGGCTTCTGTTCGAAGAAAAGCTAATGAGGTGGGCCACAGATTTGCATACCTTCAAGTTCCATAGAACAAAACTATTATTTGGACCAAAAGACCTCCTGTTTACTTAATCAATTTGTTTGTTAATGATAATATTTTAGGTCTGAGTAGTCGACTATAGTTTTTCTACTTTTGGAAGTTGTGATTGTTAAGTAGAGATATTATGGCAATAGATGGATAATATTATATATGTATTGATAAATTTGATACATTGTAAAATATAATGTTTGATCAGTTTGTGAGTGTGTATGCTACTGCTACATTAGCTAAAAGCTGAAATGTAAAAATCGCAATTCAACTTTCTTAACCAAGGTTGCCAACCCGGTTTAGTTTGTTGGTCAGGTCGAGCAAGTAGGTGGAGGGTTAATGTTCTGACCTCCTTAACTCGATTTTTTTTATATGAATGGTAAGGATATATTTCATCAAAAGACTGTACTTGTGGCAACAGCCCTTGCCACTAGGTCACTTCTACTACTGCAAAACTATTAAGGAAATCTAAGCCAAGACAAAAAACAAGAGCAAAACCAATAATTCACATTCACAAGAACACCTCCAAATCTTCAGCAGCACACAACACTTCCAGATCACTCTTCACCCTCTTCTGCACTGTTTCTAAGCTCAAAATGGGTTTCCCATGCTTTGCATTACATTTGTCATGCCAAATGCCACTAAGGAGAGATTGCCATAGAAGCCTCCCAACTTTGCAGGTTGCACTAGAACCAGAAAAAACAGGCAATGCCCACTGTAGCTCTTCTCCACAGTTGTTAGATGGGGGCCTACTGGTGAACTTTGAAAACAAACATAGGTACAGATCCTTATATATGCAACATTCAGCAAATAGATGATTATGAGATTCAACTCCAGCATCACAAAAGACACATTTAAAGCTCCCCTGGTACCCCCAGCTCAGAAGCTTATCCACTATAGTGATATAACCTTTAGTGATTAACCAGCAGAGAAATTGATCTCTGGGGATAGCAGGATGATTCCAAATCAACTTATACCATTCCACTACAAAAAGCTAAGGTCGAAAGAACTCCCATACTAGCTTTAGTGGAAACTTCTTC